AACATAACTATGGCGTAAAATACATTCACATGAAATATAACATCCAATTTCAAATGGACAATAAGCCAAACTTAGCCCAAATAAATAAAGTTGTTTTCATCTCCTATCACTCATTCATCAGTCATCTAAAATCGCCTACAGTCAAAGTTTCAAAATTTACATGCAATTTGCTCATACATTAAGGAAAATGAAGACTATTACCACTAACAACTAATAAAGCAACCATAACTGGAGCAAAACAAAAGAAAATGTAAATGATAAAAATGCTTATCCTTCTTTGACACATGATATACGTCTTCTTCACTACACACTCAAATATCACGAGAACCTATTATTTTCTCTTTGGCATATCCAACAACGAAAACCAGACGACTGTAAAATTATAGAAGTACACATCCATTGACCTAAAATGAAACAATAATTAACAAATTATAACAAATTTATAATTAAAAAATAGCAATAAAACAAATGAAGACAAACGTTGGATATTTAGAAACATAAACCTCTCCTTTCTACTAAGATACTTTTGAAGATATCGTACCTTAATGCATAATGCAATCTCTCCTATAACAAATGATTAATTTACTATTTAGTAGAAACAACTATATATCCTAATGAGCAAAAAACGAAAGAATGTCCAACAACTATAAAACACAATAACTCAATCTATGTTTTTCTAGAAACCCGTATCGACAATCTAATTTTAACATCTCCAACAACATCATACGAATCAGATAAAAGAACCTACATATACAATGTAAAAGTTTATCCATAGATACTGATAATTTTATAATTACAAACAATTTGGAACTCATTAAATAATAAAATATACGAACCCAACGCATAGCACCGGAATACCACTAGTTATATAAATTATATCATGGCTATATTCTTTGTTTTTCATCTCCTATGAATATATAGCAAATCGTCTCATGTTAGTATATCTCCACCTACTAGTCTGTTCCCACCTAATATTCCGAAATATTAAATTCAGTTTTAGTGTCTCTAAACCTTAATTGCACCTACTATAATATGTTCTTCGTGTACAGTTTTACAAAAGCCAAATAGTTAATGTCTAGGTCTGACTTTTTTTTTGTTTGTGATACGAACTCACTCTGAAACTTCGTATACATTTCCAAAATAGAGAAGAAGCGAAGAAACTTTGCACTTCTTCCTCTCTATATAACTCAACAGCTGTCTGTGAAATAGAGCCAAGCCTACCACGTTGCCGAGAGCCCACATAGTGGCTCTTTCTTCGTTCTTATACAGTCTTACAAAAACTATAATAATTAATTTGAATGTGTGACATTTTTCTTTTCTCTATTTTGTTTGCAATAATAATTTCGTCTACTTTTCAAACTTTTGTTTTTCTCTTACTTTTCAAACTTTGACATTTCTCCTGTCTCTATATCACTCAACAACTGTTTTCATTACCATTTGCAGTTTTTCTCCTTCCACAAAAGACTTCTCCTCTCTCATGGCTTCTCTCTCTTCTTCTTCTTCTTCTCGGCCACTCACATGGACATACCGAGTCTTCACGAGCTTCCATGGCCCCGACGTCCGTAAAACCTTTCTCAGTCATCTACGTAAACAGTTCAACAACAATGGGATTTCGATGTTCGATGACCAAGCGATTGAGAGAAGCCAAACCATTGCCCCTGAACTCACACAAGCGATTAGGGAATCGAGGATCTCGATCTTGGTGCTCTCGAAGAACTACGCTGCATCAAGCTGGTGTTTGGATGAGCTGGTGGAGATTTTAAAGTGCAAGAAAGAAATGGGACAGATAGTGATGACGGTGTTTTACAGCGGAGTTGATCCTTCTAATGTGCGGAAACAAATAGGAGATTTTGGGGAAGTTTTCAAGAAAACTTGTGTTGGTAAAACAGAGGAGAAGAGGCAAAAGTGGAGCCAAGCTTTGACTGATGCTGGCAACATACTAGGTGAACACCTCCTAAACTGGTACGTTTGCTTTCCGAATATAACAGATCTGCTAATAGAATATGCAAATCTTTTTCACATCTGATTTTCTGATAAAGCACGATGGTTTTCCTCTTCTTTTAGGGACAATGAATCAGAGATGATTGAAAAGATTGCTAGAGATGTTTCAAACAAACTAAATTCTACAATCTCTAGCGATTTTGAAGACAAATTGGGTATTGAAGCACACTTGGAGAAGATGCAATCTTTGTTACATTTAGATGATGGCGATGAGGGTGCAGCTATGATTGTTGGTATATGTGGCCCTGCAGGCATTGGTAAGACTACTATTGCTAGAGCTTTACATTGCCGACTCTCTAGCAGTTTCCAGCTTTCTTGTTTTATGGAGAATATTAGAGGAATCTATCCTAATGGTCTTGATGAGTATGGTTCTAAGCTGTGTCTACAAGAGCAACTTCTTTCAAAGATTCTAAACCAAAATGGTATGAAGATAAACCATTTAGGTGCGATATCAAAAAGGCTGTGTGACCGAAAAGTTCTTATCATTCTTGATGATGTGGACGATCTGCAACAGCTTGAAGCTTTGGCTAATGACACTAACTGGTTTGGTCCTGGAAGCAGGATTATTGTTACCACAGAAGATCAAGAGCTTTTGGAGCAACATGGTATCCACAATACATACCATGTGGACTTTCCATCTGTAGAATATGCTCTTAAGATCCTTTGTAGATATGCTTTTAAAGGGAGCTTGGCACCGTATGGTTTTCAAAATCTTATCAAAAGAGCAACAAATCTTTGTAGTAACCTTCCATTGGGTCTCCGTGTCATGGGTTCAGTGTTACGCGGAAAGAAAGAAGATGACTGGGAAAGTATACTGCATAGACTAGAAAATACCAGTCTACCAAAGATCGATGCATTACTAAGAGTTGGATTTGATAGTTTAGATGAGAACGATCAAACTCTATTTCTCCTCATTGCAGTCTTCTTCAACTACGCCTACGATGGTCATGTGAAAGCAATGCTTGCTGGCAGTAACTTGGATGCCATACTTGGATTAAAAACCCTCGCCTATAAATCGCTCATACAGTTATCGAACAAAGGAAAAATAGTAATGCACAAGTTACTACAACAAGTGGGTATACAAGAAATTCAAAAACATGAGCATTGGAAACGTAAAATCCTAGTGGATACTGATGAGATTCTCGATGTTCTTGAAAACAATTCTGTAAGTTTTTCTTCTTATTGATGATTTACCCGTTATACCGGGTAATTTGGCAAAGGCCCACAGATTCTTACCTATTGTTCTAACATGATTTATTCTATTTTGAATTTTATTTAGGGTAGTAGAAGTTTGATGGGGATACGTTTTGATATATCTACAATCAAAGACAGCATACAAATAAGCCCAAAAGCTTTGAAAAGAATGCGCAATCTTCGATTTCTCTGGATCTACAAAACAAGATGGGATTCAAATGTTCGAGTGTATCTACCCGATGACATGGATTTTCCACCTCGTCTGAAGTTATTACATTGGGAGGAATATCCAGGAAAGTGTCTTCCTTATTCACTTAGGCTGGAATTTCTCGTGGAACTCAATTTAGAAAGGAGCAAGCTCAGGCATTTGTGGAAAGGAACACAGGTTTGTTTTTATAATTCTTTATTTTGAATAAATTGTGCAGTTGCTTTATTAGTTTTGCGAAATTCCATTCTAAATGACATTAGAATCTAGGTGGAATTTAAAATAGCATATTGAACTATAAAACCGAACCAATTAAAACCGAATCAAACAAAAAATAGAGAAAATGGTAGAAATTTAGTGGTACCAAATGAATGTTATTTTAAAAAACATCGGTATATGCATATAGTTTGGTATATAACCAATCAAACGGAAAAACCGATTAACTAAAAATATTAATATACTTAAATATTAATTTAATAAGAAATAATACTATGTATACATAATTTATTATATTAATAATATATTCATAATTAAACATTAAATTAAATATTTTTTTCTTTTGTTTGAAGTTAAAAAGGTTTTTTTTTAATTTCAAAAAATTAAATAAAACATTTTTTTTTCTTTTTATTCGTAGCTATATGTGCTAAAATACAGTTATATAATAATAATATGATATTACTATTTTCTTACTTTTATTTTACTTGATAAATAAAACAGAATATTTAAAAGTTAGAGTAAGCAAAATATATTTATGTTTTATAAATCTAATATTAATTATATAATCTAACATTTTTTATGGAAGAAAAATCTATTTATGGTTTTTTGGTATAAAACCGAATAAATCGAAAACCAATAGTATATAAATTAAATAAGGCCGGGAATATATTTAAAAAAGGTCACGAATATATTGAATAAGTTTTTTTCAAAATAAATTAAAATTATTTGTTTGTTTATATTTATATATTTATAGGGTATATGTATAATTTTCGTTTATCTTTTTTTAATGAGTAAGACATGTAGTTTAATTTTAAAAAATAAAAATCAGTAATCTATTAACATATGATTTTGTTTAGATTTGGTAAGTAAATTTATATGCACTAACCAATAAACTAAAAGGTATGTATTACTAAATTTATATGCATCAACACTCTTACGTTGATATGCCGACTTTCTTTTCTTAGAATTGCTAAAGTAAATAACACAATAGTATGACTACTTTTCGTACATGGTGAAGATTATAAGACTTTCTTATTGAATCGAAGAAGGTTACAAGGCTGTTTATATACATGACGTGACTACTATTGAGAGCTAGGTTAGAATGTAATAACTAAGTTTCTATATACGAGTACAAGAAATATTGTTAGTATGAAATCAAACCTCGTCTATGATACATGATGTGTTAATATTTTTTGCTGTGCTGATTCATATACAGCCCCTTGGGAATCTCAAGAAGCTGAATTTGCAATCGTCTTATAATTTGGAGGAACTCCCGGATCTTGCAAGTGCTACGAATCTCGAGATTTTGGATGTGACTGAATGCCAGAGTTTGGTAGAGATTCATTCCTCTGTTGGAAATCTTGACAAACTAGAGAGTTTGGAGATGGGATTATGTACAAATCTGCAGGTTGTTCCGAGTCTCTTCAACTTGTCATCTCTTGCAACAGTCGGGATGATGGGATGCTGTCAAATGAGGAAACTTCCAGATATTTCCACAACCATCACAAGCCTCTCAATCACAGACACGATGTTAGTGGAATTTACTGAATCAATTGGACTCTGGTCTCGTCTCAAGAGTCTCTATATATTTGGTAGTGTCCTTCCACGTGATTTTTTGACACAGTCACATGTTACAAAATTGATACTAGAGAGAAGTGGCGCAGATATTGAAAGAATTCCAGACTGCATCAAAGATCTTCATAGGTTGGAAACGCTTTGGATAGTTGGATGTTCAAAACTTGTATCACTGCCAGAGCTTCCTAAGTCGCTCACATCACTATTCGTATGGAATTGTGAATCACTGGAGACACTAGTACCTTTCCCTTCTGACTCTCGGATTGAGTATCTCTGTTTCCTTGACTGTCTCAAATTGGGTCCAGGAGCAAGGAGAGCAATTCTCAAGCAATCATGGCGGGCATGCTTACCTGGAAGAGATATACCTGCAGAGTTCAATCACCGGGCTATAGGAAACTCCTTGACCGTTAGTGCAAAATCCTGCGGATTTAAGATGTGTGTCATCGTTTCCCCTAAATCAAAAATGGAAGAAAGTAACTGTATAGAATTAGTATGCCGCATAAGCATAAATGGTTGCCCCACAGAGAATTGCATATTTCCTCTTGCTTGTAGAGTTCAATCAGAGCATCTGGTTATATCTTACTCGGATATGCTTAGCGACGACGACGATACTGAACAGTACAGAGAGATATTGTTCGAATTCAGCTGCTCATCCCGGGAAATTGAAATTATGGAATGTGGTGTCCTGATCTTGAGGGACATTTACGACTATGGATTTTTTGCGAAACAGAAGTTGGTGAAACATATGTTAGAAAAATGTGGAGGCCTTGATGAGAGCCTTGCTGCAGCAATAGCAGAGACCACGGTGGATTTTCGTGATGGCCCTGAATGTTATGTAGTTTATGAAAAGATGATTGATGATTATTATGGGAGCCTTGAGGATGATTCAAAACAACCGTTGGAAAACGACGACGTAAGTCTCTCTGATGAGCGCTTTGAGTTGGATGAATCACGAGTAGATATCATTGAGGATTTGCATGGGAGCCTTGAGTATGATGCATCACGAGTAGCGACCGATGATGGTTTATTTGCTCCCACTTTTTTTTCCTTCGGATTCTGATTCCAAGTTTTTTTTATGGGTTTTTAATGTAAAAACCCCTCAAGTATGTTTCATTTGGATAGAAACCCCTCAATAAATGATTCAATATATTAACTCCTAACTTTATGTATCTTAATGAAAGAGCCCCTCCGTTAATTCAACCGTTTAAGCAATACGATGTGTTTTGATTATCTTGTAAACTAGTTCATGATATTTTAATTAAACAGCATGAGTACACGACATTAGCTTAGAACAACATGTAGTTTAAGATTAGTTTAACCTTACGACTTATACTATCAAGAAAGAGATGACGAACCCTAGTTTCTCAAATTCTGATTGATACTGATGATATTCTCGATGCTCTTGAAACCGAATCTGTAAGTTTTTCTTCTTCTTATTTATGATGGAAACTGTTAAACTGGGTCATTTGCCAAAGGCCCACAGATCTTACCTATTGCTCTCACATAATTTAATTTATTATATTTTTGAATTTTATTTAGGGTAATAGAAGTTTGATGGGGATACGTTTTGATATATCTACAATCAAAGATAGCATAGAAATAAAGCCCAAAAGCTTTGAAAAGAATGCGCAATCTTCAATTTCTCTCGATCTACAACTCAAGATGGGATACAAATGTTCGAGTGTATCTACCAGAGGACTCAAATTTCCCACCTCGTCTGAAGTTATTACATTGGGAGGAATATCCAGGAACGTGTCTTCCTCATTCACTTAGGCTGGAATTTCTCGTGGAACTCAATTTAGAAAAGAACAAGCTCAGACATTTGTGGAAAGGAACACAGGTTTCTTTTTATAATTTTTGTTTTAAATAAATTGTTCAGTTGCTTTATTAGTTTTAGGAAATCTTCCTATATATTAATTGAGAAGTTAATTAAACGATTTATGCTGACGTGTGGTCCATATTAAAATTTTCTAATTAATTATTATAATTTAATTTGTTGATGATTTTTTTTATTCATTTATCTAATCAAAGTTTTTAAAAAGAAAACTAACTCTAGAATTACTTAATCTAATTTATATTTCCTAACATACAATTAAAAATCTTAAATATAGATTAATTAACATAATTTATTTATAAATTAAATATCATATATTACATTATATAAATTGATAATATACATATAAATACATATGCTTTATATTCTTATGTATTTACTTTTATTTATTTGACGAGATACATGTATTTTGTGTTACTATATATGTGAACTAATTAGTTTTATGTGTGATTTAAAACATTGTGGTAAATTGAGTAAGAAAGGTCAATAAAAATTTTCAGTTCTACAATTGTTAAATTCAAAGATAAAAAATATAATTTAAACTGAAAGTAGGAAAAATTATTTTAAACAATGAGATGTATTTTTTGTGGTATAATAAACTTTTAAAATATACGATAACAAAGTTTTAACAAATGTTATACAAATAAAATAATACTGCATCTCACATAAAAATAACAACATTCCGTTAATTAAAATTTTATTTTTTATCTCATATTAGTTAATTAGATTTAATTAACATAGGTATGTTTTAAAAGAATAATTTGGTTGCTTAAACCAATTTAAGTTTTATGTTAAACACTAAATAAAAAAGAAGTGAGAAATTGTGATTTATGATTTGAAAAAATTATGAGAAAGTTACTTAAACTACCATTTTCCTAACATATTTTGTCATTAGACAAATTTATCTTTGGTTTTAAAGTGATAAAATTTATCTTTAGTATATCATAACTGAAAAACCCGATTAATTAAAAATATTATTATAATTATATAATAATTTAAAAATAAAAATTATACTATATATATACATAATTTATAATATTAATAAGATATTCATAATTAAAACACTAAATTTATTCATTTGTTATTCTTTTTAAGTTAGAAAGGTTATTTTGGCTTTTTCATTTCCATCAAATTAAATAAAACATATTTTTTTTATTGGTAGCTATTTTTGCTAAATATAGCTATATAATAATATGATAATACTATTTTTAATTTCATTTTTCTTGATAAATAAAACAGAAAATAAAATATTTAAGAGTTAGAGTAAGGAATATATATTTATGTTTTATAAATATAATTTTTAATCATATAATCTAAATATATAATCTAAATTTTGTTATAAAACTGAATACACCAAAAACCAATAGTATATAAACCAAATTAAACCAAATTCTATATGATTCTAATATGATAGCTAAATTTAATAGACCGAAATACCAAAAAATCACAAAAAACTGAAATCGAAACCAGAGAAAAATCCATATTCCATATTGAAAAGGCCTAATAACATTGTTTATTTATGGATCTGAGTTAAGCGTGCACCTTTTCTATTTTTCTTATGAAAATTACGTGAAAGCAAATAGTTTTATTTTAAAAATAAATAATTTATATATATATATATATATATATTTATTTATTTATTCATATCCAATAAACACAAGAAAATAATACCCCCAAATTAATTTAGAAAATATCGTTGCACTAAAATAGTTTTTATCATAAAATAGTTACTAAGGATCAAATAACCAAAATAAATTTCATTAAAAGGTAAAAGACATTCATATCCTTAAGGTTAAATAATCTAAACTTATAATTTAAATTTTAGGAATGTTTAGGGTGGGGAGTGCTTTAAGGTTTAAAAATAACTTTAAAAATATTTTAAAAAAGAATTTTCAGTTGTGAAAACAAAATTTTAAAAAGTTACAAAAAAAAATTTTAAAAAGTTTTAAATATATTGAAGAAGTTTTTTGAAAATAAATTAAAATTATTTTTTATTTTCTTATTTATTTTAACATTTTGTTTATATTTATATATTTATAGAGTAAATATAGCCATGAGTAATTGTCATTTATCTTTTTAATGAGTAAGACATGTAGTTTAATTTTAAAAAAAAATAAAAGTCACTAATCTATTAACATATGATTTTGTTTAGATTTGGTAAGTAAGTTTATATGCACTAACCAATAAACTAAAAGGTATGTATTACTAAATTTATATGCATCACACTCTTTACGTTGATATGCCGACTTTCTTTTCTTAGAATTGCTAAAGTAAATAACACAATAGTATGACTACTTTTCTTACTTGGTAAAGATTATAAGACGTTCTTATTGAATTGAAGAAGGTTACAAGGCTGTTTATATACATGACGTGACTACTATTGAGAGCTAGGTTAGAATGTAATAACGAAATTTCTATATACGAGTACAAGAAATATTGTTAGTATCAAATCATATCTCGTCTCTGATATACGTCGTATCCTTAATATTTTTTTTGCTGTGCTGATTCATATACAGTCCCTTGGAAATCTGAAGAAGCTGATGTTGGCATGGTCTTATAATTTGGAGGAACTCCCGGATCTTGCGAATGCTACAAATCTAGAGATTTTGGATGTGACTGAATGCGAGAGTTTGGTAGAGATTCATTTCTCTGTTGGGAATCTTCACAAACTAGAGAGGTTGGAGATGAGATTATGTACAAATCTGCAGGTTGTTCCGAGTCTCTTCAACTTGTCATCTCTTGAAACAGTCGGGATGATGGGATGCTGTCAAATGAGGAAACTTCCAGATATTTTCACAACCATCACAAGCATCTCAATCACAGACACGATGTTAGTGGAATTTACTGAATCAATTAGACTCTGGTCTCGTCTCAAGAGTCTCTTTATACTTGGCAGTATCATTCCACGTGATTTTTTGACACAGCCACATGTGGTAAAATTGATGGTAGAGAGAAGTGGCGCAGATATTGAGAGAATTCCAGATTGCATCAAAGATCTTCATAGGTTGGAAACTCTTATGATAGTTGGATGTTCAAAACTTGTATCACTGCCAGAGCTTCCTAAGTCGCTCACATCACTATTCGTATGGAATTGTGAATCACTGGAGACACTAGTACCTTTCCCTTCCGACTCTCGGATTGAGTATCTCAGTTTCCTTGACTGTCTCAAATTGGACCCAGGAGCAAGGAGAGCAATTCTCCAGCAATCAAGGCGGGCATGCGTACCCGGAAGAGATATACCAGCAAAGTTCAATCACAGGGCTATAGGAAACTCTTTGACCATTACTTCAAATGCCTGTGGATTTAAGATGTGTTTCATCGTTTCACCTAAATCAGAGATGGAATACGGTAACTGTATAGAATTAGTGTGCCGCATAAGCATAAATGGGTGCCCCAAGGGGAATTGCATATTTCCTCTTCTCTTTAGAGTCCATTCAGAACATCTGGTTATATTTTACTGCGACATTCCTCAAGAAGACGACGACGAAGTTGAACAGTCCCACCAGATATTGTTCGAATTCAGCAGCTCATCCCAGGAAATGGAATTTATTGAATGTGGTGTCCAGATCTTGAGGGACATTTTTGACTATGGACTTTTTGCGAAACAGCATTTGGTGAAATTTATGTTGGAAGACTATGGACCCCTTGATGAGAGCCTTGCTGCTGCAATGGCAGACACCACGGTGGATTTCAGTAATGGCCCTGAATGTTATGCAGTTTATAAAAGGATGATTGATGATTTTTATGGGAGCTTTGGGGATGATTCAAAAGAACTGTTGGAAAACGATGACGTATGTTTATCAGATGAGAGCTTTTTGTTGGATGCATCGCGAGTAGAGACCGATGATGATTTGGATGGGAGACTTGAGTATGATGCATCACGAGTAAAGACCGATGATAGTTTATTTGCTCCCGCTTTTTTTTCTTTCGGGTTTTGATTCCAAGTTTTTTTGTTATTTTCTTTCTTAGGTGTATGTCATTAGTTCACATCATTTTTTTCCTTGATTATAAGTGTTCTATTTATGGATATCTTTATGTCTCGAGTAATGTTATCTTGTTGTGATTGACTTTGTATTTCCCCATCTACTCGTTAAATTTCCTTCTCTTAGAAGGGAGACGTTTTTCACAAAAAGAAAGGTTACAACAAATCAATATGCTAATTTTAGCTCATAAAAGTTTTCCGCAATATTATCTTAACACATGAAAGTTGAACAGCTTCTTCAACAAAATCAAAAAGTAAACCAGAATTTATAAGTAACGGTTGGTGCGTTTTAGCATCATCATATCATTCACCGAAAAACTGGCGTTTTTTAGCAGTGTTCATGTACGGTCTCAGAACCCATTCGACCTCTGCTTCATCTTGTTCCAAAGTTCCTAACTTCACCTGCAAATAAACAACATTGATATTAATGAACTAGTTTGAATCTGCCATATACACAGAATATATATAACACATTTTCAAAATACATTTAACAAACGAAATTTACATTTTGTCAAACTATATAAAAAAGAGAGTTTCAGGTCAGTTATCAAGAGACTAAAAACAGAATAAACCGAGTGCACAGTACCTGGTAGAGCCGCAACTCAAACCGAGGACCAATTTCTTTAAGCTCAATCGATTTCGGGCCTCCTTCTCCTTTATCATACACATGATTCCTATATATATATATATATACTTTATATGCCCATAAGAATTTTAAAACAAGAAACGACACACAAACATAACATGCAAACACTGTTTTCTAGAACTTAGTTTATTATGTAGATAATTTGTATACCTGAATGAAATGAAATCAGATTCATTAGAAAAAGTAACTATGCGCTTTGAATCGAGTTTAGGAACAGGGAAAATGTGTTTTAAGATGTCCATAACTCTCTTACCCATCTGCCAAAAGATCAACATATTTTACATTAAAAAAAGGAGTAAATCAACTCTACAAAACTCGTTCAGATTGCAATAAAGGAAGTGAAGTGTTCAACATATACAGACCTGGGTTGTAAAGCGTTCAAAAATGAGATGAGGATATTTCTCAGACATTTTTCCCATTTCTTTCTTGGTTTGAATTTCATGTTTTGTTACCTTAAAACAAAAAGGGGTACTCTGGATTAAGCAAAGCAAAGTGTTTCTGAAAATATAATAATCTCAAAGAGGTACTTACCACATTAAGTAACTGAAAGTAGGCAGTAGGTCCGAATGGGAGATGAGAGATGATAAGACCATCAGGCTTACCACGGGTTCTCAGAAACAAATATCACATCAGTAAAATCATGGGAACGCGCAGTTTCAATAATCTCAGATATGACCTGCAATGATACAAGTTCCAGCATTATGTTCCCGAAAGGATTATATAAAGATCACGCTTAGTGATGGTTACCATAGTCACACATGACAAGGAAACAAAATGATCCAAAAGGATTATAGATACTTGCACTTTGTATGAATTACAAAAGCCAGAAGAAGACACATACCTGACTACCACAATTCAGTTTACTGGCGTTAGGAAATACAATGTTCAATTCCTGCAAAAAAAAAAAATTCCACGTTGCTCAGAAAAAAAAATCCACAAAATTAAAGAATCAATCAAGAATGTTTAACATGTTATTATTCATCAACCAAAACTAAAATTGTATGCCTAGAAGCACTTGGATCCCTAGAAGTTGTCAACAAAATCTTGGGTTCTTTCTCAGTTGCATTTGCCTATTCATCATCAATATGACTCCTCGGAACTATTTTCCACAAAACATAATAATTAGAGATATAAACCAAAAAAAAAAAATGTATCTGAACAATGCAAACAATACATATACAATATACATAACCACATTACTAAGTTTCGAACTGAATAACACATACAATAAGAACAGAATGTAAACAAAACAAACAGTAACTTCTTCGAACACTAAGCTTCTTACTTATGATTCAGTATCAATCTCCTGACGAAGCTTCGCCTCCTCGTTGCGAAGCTCAGTAGGAATCGGCTTCTCTCTCATACAAATATATGCGGAAAAAATTATATTGATGCACAAGCTATTACAACAAGTGTGTAGACAAGCAATTCAAAGACATGAGCCCTGGAAACGCCAAATCCTAGTCGATACTGATGAGATTCTCGATGTTCTCGAAAACGATTATGTAAGTTTTCTTATTTAAAAACTCTCAAAATTATTAACACGTAACGTAATAAATTTATAAAATAAAATAAAGTATCTTAGGCAACTACATGGCCCCATTACATTATAAATTCATAATTAAATATAACTTTTATGAGGTTTACATAAACATTAACAAAACATTTTATCATCTATTTGTCTTATAAAATGCAATTCATGTGTATTTTTTTGCATTTCAATATTTTTCTGTTATTTTATTGAGTTACATACTACATGAATTTATATTATGGGATATGTAACTTTGATATTAAATTTTTATCAAATAATATAATAACAAGAGAAACAAATCAAATCTACAAATTCTAACTAGAATATAATATCGCGAAATCTAATTTATTCTTTTGCGAATTGAATAAAATATTTTATAAATATAAATCTTAAAAGGAAAATTTCCGTAAATCAGTAACTCTGTAAATTAATAAAGGTCCCATTAATAAATTATCATATTATCAACTTAATTAATTTGTAGATTTCTTACTCTTTTATGTTGTATCCGTTAAACCAGGTCATTTGGCAAAGGCCCACAAACCTTACCTATTGTTATGACATAATTATTCTTTTTTTTTTTCTATCAATAACATAGTTATTCGAACTGATATTTTATTTTAGGGTAGTAAAAATTTGATGGGGATATCTTTGGATATATGTACAATCAAAGACGGCTTGGATATAAGCCCAAGAGCGTTGAAAAGAATGTGCAATCTTCGATTTCTCAAGATCTACAACACAAGACTGGATACAAATGTTAAGGTGCATGTACCCGAGGACATGGATTTTCCACCTCGTTTGAAGTTATTACATTGGGAGGAATATCCAAGAGCGTGTCTTCCTCATACACTTAGGCCAGAACATTTCGTGGAACTCAATTTAAAAAATAGCACGCTCAAGAATTTGTCAGAAGGAACCCAGGTTTGTTTTTAATTTTTATAATTGTTTACGTTGAAAAATTTCTTCATTGGCTTTATCGCTTTTGTGAAATTCTTAATGACTTAGAAATCTTGGTGGAATTTCACAGAATGAAAATCATCATTGATTGTAAAATAAAACATAATTAGATTTTGATTCGCGTTTCCAAAGCGCGGGATTATTTTTATAACTGATCAAACTTATATGCTATAAATTTGCATGTTTGAATATGTATTTACATTTAATTAAATGTGAAATTTAAATATTACACATGAACCATTATATTCAATATTATGAAACACAATCTGGACCCGTTGTTAAACCGACAACGATATTAATCTCTAAGCGGAGTGAAATATATATTATACAAACAATATATATTGAATCGGTTGCTTAATGTATTAATCTCTTTCAAAATATGTATTATACAAACAATATATATTTAATGGGTTTATTAATGTATTAATCTCTTTATTAAAGTGAGTGATCCTGTTTTAATGGTATTGACTAGGTGGTAATCTGCACTCTAAGCAGAGTGAAATATAAATTAAGTTTGTTTAATTTGATAATAATATCGTAGTTCAAAAAAAAAATTTTTTGATAATAATATCAAGTTAACCATGAAGATTACATGTATAATCTGAGGTGAAAGTCAATATTTTCCCTTGCGCTAGAAAATGGTCTAACTGATTGACCAAATCTTTTTTCACATTTGCATGCATCTTATCACCCTGTAAATAACAAAACACGTTTATATAAATTTTAAATACTAATTACCCATCAATATAAATAAATATTACATTTAACATATTTAAGATTGTAGAAACTTATATTAGAATTAGTGAGAACTATTTCAATAATTAAGCCACCATCACCAGAGTATTGCTTCCACAATCGAACAATACTCACCCTCACTCTCCACATTATCTTATAAGGTTTCAATACTCGCCCTCACTCTCCACTGGTGAGGAGATGTAACTTTCGACCTTGTAGTTATATATGTAATGATACGAGTCTAGGATCTATACTATTAAAAGTGAACGCACCCTTGAAAAATCGACTGATGGAAGTTGTGTGCACCTTTCATTAATGGTATTTTGGTAATTTATTTTTGTCCTACATCTATATATATATCGAATGTTACAAATCATATCACATTAACTATTAACCATATACCCGATTTAATCTCTCTCTTCCCATTAATTACTCTATCCATATTTCATTTTATGTTCCATACTTTTATTTTTCCCGGGTTATACCAATATGATTTGTATGATATTATATTATTTGTAACATGATAGCATATGATTTGTAACATTCGATATATATTTCCATTGTCCTTTCGGTATATGTGATATGATTTATATGATATGATATTATTTTCTACATTTGATATCATATGATTTATAACATTTGGTCACTACACTATAGATTACATAATTCAAATATATATCAACCCGTTTTAGTAGTATAGATTTGTAACATTTGGTTACTACACTACGATTTGTTACATTCTATGTATATGCATAAATATACTAATATAATTTGTATGATATTATATGATTTCTAACATTTGATATCATACTGATATCATATGATTTGTAAAATTTGGTTACTACCCTAGATTATATAATTCAAATATATTTCAAACCCATTTAGTAGTATAGATATACATCAAAGTAATTAAATATGTGTATGGTTTGTAACATTCGATATAGCACAGATTCTCCTTTTGGTTTATGCATATTATATCATTTGTAAGATTTTATATCATATGATATGTGTAAATAATGGTTATTACAAATCAATTCATAAGATACCCGCAATCAAATATATATCAAACCCATTTATGAGTGACATTTAATAACGAGATGCGTTTTCGTAAGAAAATATTGCATATACTAAAATGAATAAATTCCTTCATCTATAAGGTTGAATATTATGGAAACAGTTATAATGGTTGAATTAGTTATTTTTGGTCGATTCTATATATCTATATATAATAGCAAACTGAAAGTGATATCAGCTTTTTTTTTATAGGAAAAAAAAATTCAATCCAATGGTCATAATTAACTTGATTTTAAGATCTAATAAAACAAAAAAAACCTTTTCATATGATTGATGATGTCATCAAATATTTGACAACTCTTCATTGAAAAGGCATATATTTCATTTTAATAACCACAATCATATTTGTCTTACTTTTTCATAAGTTTAAATATTAATATTGACTTTTTAGAAGATAATATTTATATGTGTCGTGACCGAAGAGGTATGAACGTATCGTGATTCAAGAGGTACGAACATGTCGTGACCCAAGAGGTACGAATCTGTCGTAACCCAAGAGGTACAAATGTTTCATGAACCAAGAGGTACGAACGTGTCGTGACCCAAGAGGTGCGAACGTATCGAAACCGAAATGGTGCGAACGTGGCAGGACCGAAAGGGTGCGAATGTATCGGGACCGAAAGAGTGCGAACGTGTCGGTACCGAAAGGGTGCGAACGTGTCGGGACCAAAAGGGTGCGAACNGACCCAAGAGGTGCGAACGTATCGAAACCGAAATGGTGCGAACGTGGCAGGACCGAAAGGGTGCGAATGTATCGGGACCGAAAGAGTGCGAACGTGTCGGTACCGAAAGGGTGCGAACGTGTCGGGACCAAAAGGGTGCGAACGTGTCGGGACCAAAAGGGTGCGAACGTGTCGGGACCGAAAGGGTGCGAACGTGTCGGGACCGAAAGGGTGCGAACGTATCGGGAACGAAAGGGTGCGAACGGTTCGGGACCGAAAGTGTGCGAACGGTTTGGGCCCGATATGGTGCGAACGGTTCGAGATCGAAAGGGTGCGAACGGTTCGGGACCGAAAGAGTGCGAACGGTTCGACACCGAACGGTTCGGCACCGAAAGGGTGCGAACGGTTCGGCACCGAAAGGGTGCGAACGGTTCGGCACCGAAAGGGTGCGAACGGTTCA